ACTGGTCGCGTGGTCGATTTGTCGTTGCCGGCGGACGGCACGTCATTTCTGCGATTGCCGCCCGCCCCTGGCCTTGATGTTGCACATTCCCGTCTCCGTACAGGACAACGCACAAGTAACGGTCATGCAGGTATGGGCCAATTGCTTCATTTACGACAAGTGTTGTACAATAGATAGGGTTCTATCACACCCTACTACCTGGATAGGCCGCTTCTGCGACTTCTTCGCGGTGCATCCGTACTCACAACTGCATCCGGTTCATCACCAACCGCCGGCTCCGATGCCGGCTCCGGCTGCTCCGTCCTTTGATTCACAACCGCATCACGCGCAACTTGCTCCTCCTTGACAACCTCTTCCGTCTTGATGACCACGTCCCCATCTTCCTCCTCCTTCACCTCAACCTTGACCTCCCTCATCTTACGCCCCTCATTCACCTTCTTCCTCTCCGCCGCCTTACACAACCCGCCCAACCCGAGCTCGCAATCGCCGCACTTGCGCCCGACAGGCAAGCAGACCGTCTGGCCGAACCCGACGAGCAGCCAGTTGATCTCGCGCCACTTATCCTTGGGCAGCCAGCTCTGCAGCGCGTGCCGCGTCGCCTCGGGCTGCGTGGTCTTGTGCCAGCCCCAGAGGTTCGTGATGCGGTGCACGTGTACGTCCACGCCGATGCCCTCGGTGCGGTCCCAGGCCGCGGAGAGGCAGAGGTAGGCCATCTTGGGGCCTACGCCGGGTAGGGAGGTGAGACCTTCGATCGTGTCGGGGATATCGCTGTTGAATTTGTCGCGGAGGATGATGGCTGCTGCTTTGATGAATCTAGGACATCCAACGTTAGAATTTTCGGTGTTCTGCCAGATACACCCGGATCGAAGGCAATCGCTCCCCGTGTGCCATCCATCATCGGAAAGAAAGGGAACAACATACTTTGTCTTATTGTTATGAAACCCCACCGCCCAAATCAACTCATTCAACAGCGCAGGTTCCACAGCCAGCACATTCTCCAAACACAATCCCCCCTCCGCGCCCTCCTCGTGCGGCGGCAACTCCGTCATCAACCTCTTCATCGCCACCGCGTTAACCGTGTCTTTCGTCTGGCTCGAGAGCATGAGCGCAATCAAGATATGGAAGCGCCGGTCGCGTTCCGAGGCGTCGGGGTGGAAGAGGCGTTCGCAGCCCATTGTGTCGACGGCGGCGTTGCGCGCTGCGCCGTGGAGGCGCATTTCTTTGACGGTGTTGTAGATTTGCAACCAGTCTGTCGGGGGTTCGATGTGTGTTGTAGAGGAAGAAGGGGATGTGCCGCGGATCGTGCGTGCTGGTTTACGGGTTTTGCGGGCTTTTGGAGGAGATGGTGGTGATGTGGTGTCGGTTTCGATGTGTTCGGTTTTAATTCTGGTTCGTGATTTTGATGTCGTTCTTGGTGGTGGTGGTGGCGGTGGTGCTGCTGCTGTGCCTGTGGCACTTTCACTCTCCTCGCCTTGTACTTCCTCCTCTTTGACAACCCGTCTCCGTTTCCTGCTCCGCGAGTCGGGAACCGCATCTTCAATGTCGGCGACGCCTAGAACTATATCGTGGAGCGCGGCTTCCGTGGCTGTCGCCTTGGAACCCGCCGTAGAGGTCGTTGAATCCGATGCGTATGCGAACCGCGCAAGCGAAGATCTCGTCGTCCGGCGGGTCTGTGGCGGCGGCGGCGGCGGCGGCGATGATGCCGCCATCTTGTTGAAGAGCGCCGACGTCTCTTTTGCTAGTTTCGAGGTCTTCATTGTGAAGTGAGGTGCACTATCCTATGCTTTCGACTCATAGCGCTGCGATAGCGAACATTGACAAGTTACAAACAAGATATCTGGAAGCATTAAGAAGAAGCCCTTTCTTCCTTGGCTGATGTATCCGTAGGTCTGACGAACGAGAGGTAGTTTGTCAAAGAAATGGCGAGCTCCCGTCGACAACGACGCAATTGACTCTGGCAACCCCCCTACAACGCGCCCAACGCGCCGTCGGCGTAATCGTAAACCCATTGGTCCTCGACTTCCCGTCCCGCCCACGGACCACTTGTGTGGCTTGTGAAATAAGAGCCGGGGGGAGGGACGGAAGAGGGGGGGGTGCGAGACCCCTGTGGACACCATGCCTGGTCCAAGCCTAGTGCCGCCCGGATAGCCGGGATTACCAGTCTGCTTAAGCGAGAAAGCCGTATCCTTGTCCGTATGACGCTCCTGCTTGTAGTCGTACGGGATGAGGGAAAGGTACTTTGGATGTGTGTGAGGTTGGGAAGGGGGATCAGCAGAAGAAGATGGAGGCAGTTCTGAAAGTAGGGTCTTTTCCGGGCACTGGCTACCTAAGATGAACTATGCAGATTGTTGTTTTGTTGAGGGGTGTTTGTTTGTAAGGTGTCGATCCGGGTTGAAATCCCGTGGACCAGCTGAGCTGGATAATCACCATAATAACATTCACAGATAGTAGGCAACATTTGACTGGAATGATACGTACCAGCACGCCTTCTCCGTCCATGTTTACGTTCTATTCACGGGGCGCAAACAGACAGCTTAAATGTGAATCTTCTTGGGCTGTAAAGCCTATCTACGACAATCACGCAGGTATCAAAGATCAGTGGTGCAAGAAACACACGGTTGAACATGATGTATACAGGAGGTAACTTGAACTCTCCGAGAGGAGCATTAACTCTAAATCCATCGCTTCTCCAACTCCAACTCCGGCTCCAAAAAAACAACAACACAAAACCACCCTGTCTAGACCGTGAACTCTTCGTTAAGCCAGTGCTTGAGCACGACGTGGCCCTCGCTGAACGTCTTCTTCTCCCAACGCACAATAATGGCAGCATGGCTGTGCCTGTCCTTGTGGATCCAAACAGGATACTTGTGCCATCCCACAGAGTCGAGTGCCTGAATCATCTGGAACTGGTAGGGCGCCAAGGCGAGGGTAGGCTGCGACGGCACCGACATGCGCCTTTCCCTAGCCAGGAGCTGTGTGGTGCTGCGATCCATCTCGACCTCATCCAGATCCTCTTCTGATTCACTTCCCAGGAACTCTTGGTCTTGCGAGCTGTTGAGAGTCTCGTACACGTGTTCCACCTCCTCCCGAATCTCTTTCATCCACAGCGGGCCGCGGTATTCGTCGATTGCCACTCCTGCAAGCCCCTTTTCGTGCAATTGAATGCGTTTCGATGAACGGACCGTCTGGACGACTGAGCTGAACAAGAACGCAATTATACCAATGGGGACGAAAATCGTCAAGGCTATGGCGAAAGGAACGCGCTTGATCCATTTCCAGCTTGACCCAGCAACAGACGAAAGCGTGGCCGGCTCCGAGATCTTTGGCTTTGGCGCCACGGGATGATTGGGATCGAGGATGACATCTTCGTAGCCGTCCAAGAAATTGGCCTTGATCTTGTCGACGTTGGTGTAGGGGTCGGTCTTGGTAATGCCGGTGGTGTAGTGCACGGCACTTCTGTCGTTGACAATATTGGTGTATAAGGTGTGACGTTTGAATCGCTTTAGTCCCGCGAGGAAAATGGAATCGGGATCGGCCAAAACGGCGAGCAGTGGTCGACCGGTATCGCGGAAGTTGTCGATGGTGAACAGCTGACGGCCGGACATAGATAGGGTGCGAGCTCCGAGAACATTCCACAAGTGATTGTGCCATCCCCGGAGTGGTGTGCGAACGCCGAGGTGTGGCGTGGCAAAGGTCACAAAGTTCTACCGCAAGTTAGTCGCCATCGTCCTTTACTGCATCAACAGATCCTTCTCTCACCATGCATTCCACGGTATCGAGTACGCCCTTGGAGTGAAGCAGGCCAACGGCGTAGCGGGAGACGAGACCTCCGAGCGAGTATCCGACGATGCTCAGCTTGGTGATCTTGCCGCCCTTCTCCTCAATGAGGCGCAGCTCTTCCTCGATCTCAGCGCACACACGCTCACCACCACGCTCGATACCATCGTACGTGAAAGAGCCACTGTTTCGCTTCGCAAGCAGCAGGTGTAGCTTGTCGGCGGAGTACTTGGCGCGCAAGCTTTTGGCGATCTGGGCCATGTGGTTGGGGTTACCCCAAAGCTATGGAGCCGAGGCGGCGTTGCGTTAGTTCAGAAACATTCATGACGTCGTGGGAAAACGGTGCTGCAGTCTGCAGACGGGTGCAGAAAGGGAGAAAAAGACAGGGAATAACGTGTAAGGTGTAAAGGTAAACTCACCCCATGGACCAAGACGCAGAGATGATCGGCCTCTGCGGTGCCTCCGGTGTAATCCATTAGATAGTCGTAGGATGAGATCAGGGACCGGTTAATAGAGCGAACAGAAAAGGGTAACAACGTTGGAAAAAGTTGCGATGGAGAACGTCGAAGGGAAGCTCCAGTGGGACGCGCTCCGAGTTAAATTCTCGGGGCGACCACAAGAGTCCCTCCAACGGACAATCCGCGAAGCCCGACCGTCGAGGTGGAGGGGGGGGGGGGCGTCTGAAGTCCGCTCAGGGCAGTGGACAGCTGCTTGTTAGCGGGTTGAAATTCAATGACACCAACACTGCCCTGGGCCCCAATACCGGGCTCTCCCGAACGCTGGCGGAGCGGCGTTTGCTACTTTGCTGCCCGTAATGCTGAAGGTGTATGCAAGCCCCCTGGATTTAAGGGGGAGATAAGGCGGCTTAGCACCACGATTGCTCCGGTAGTCTCCTGTGGTGGTGTGCTTCCAGGCCGCGATTGGGTGAGGGTACCGTGCGCCGCGTGGCTTCAGCGGCCTGGTGATTCCTCCTGTTTCCTTTGCAGGCTGCAATTACTCGTCCAAGCTGTTTGTTGATTGGGCAGAGTCGGTGTTTGTTTGCTAACCACACCTCGTACTTTACCCTGAGGTAACTAACCTTACCAAGGGTAAGCTGTCGGTAAGGTAGGGATCGAGGTACCTAGACAGTAGACAGGAATGGAATGCGCGCACGCGACGTCTCTTTTGGGACCTTGCTGATAAAGTGGAGGGAGCTGCAGTTCGCAGCCGTTGGTGGGGTGGAATCAGCTCGTCGGGATTGCGACCCGTGACGACACCTCAAGCTGCAAGTCCCTCCGTGTAGTCCTGGGTTGGGTGAGCTCGCAAGATGGTCGATTTTGGGGAACAACTCGAGAGTAAGTCGAAGGGATGAAAACCTGCCGCGAGGTGGTGAGGACCCTGAGCCGAGCTGGCGCGCCGGCCGCCCACTCGTCGCTGGTACGAAGTAATCGATAGGACGGGTGCGTGAGAACCCAATTCCGAGTTGAACTTTGGTGTTTGGTGTTCATCCGCTGGGTACGTCACGGTGATCTCTAGCTTTCGCAAGCGCGTACTTCATCCAAGAGGATTGCTTCGTTGTGCAACTTCCCGTTCTGCCAAAGCAAAGGTTTTCAGATCACAACTTTCGTCCAGGTGGTGGGCATTGGGCGCCTCATTTATAGACGGCCCAAGATTGAAAAGATAGCATTGCACAGGAAGCAAGCCAGGTTGGTTTGTGAACCCCTCGCTTCATCTTGCTCCTTGATAACGATTTCCTCGATAACTGAGCTAACACAGGAGTGACACTGACAGGCAGGGCATACCTCCCGGCCGTACTCACACACTTACCTACACAGTAGACTCTGCACTACGGGCTACTCACCGCCAATAGCTCTTGTCCAACCGTTGCACCGCGATAGGCAAGTCCATCCTCGAGACCAGGGCTGCCCATGGTTTCGCCCTTTCGTTTGGGGCCACTGCCACTAGCACCCGCCGGGGCTCTGATACCGCAGTGCCGTTATCAGCGGGCAAGAGAAATGGCTGGTGGCTTCGTTGGCGGGCGTCTTTTTGGCTTTTGACTCTCCTGCTCTGCCTGCTCTGCGTCTCCATCTGCGTGTCTGCGTCACCCTGCCCATGCAAGGAAGGTGCGGAGGCTGCATTCTTATTGTTGTGCCCCGTATGGAGTACATACGCAGTAGTAACTCAACACCTCAAGAACGAGGGGTTGTGGTGGATAAGGGAGGACAGGTTGATCACCAGGTCCATCATATCACATGCGAGACCATGTCTGTGCAGCCCCGCGCGGATCCGATAAGAGCTGTCGGATCTGACGAGCTGCGAGCACAACAAATGAGAGCACGGCGGGGCTTGGTCTTGCTGGCGTCAGATGTAGGTACCGAGATTGATCAAGTGCAATGTGACGGAAGAGCAGTGCAAGTGGGATTCGTGAATCAAGCCTTATCTGTAGTGTATTTTGTGTGATTAAAACACTTTCTGCCATGATGTATCTCCAAGATGTCTTGGCGCGGGTGGAAATGACCGTGTGTATTATCGGGCTGATTCCTGGGCTTCCAAAGATGAGACGGTGGATGAAATAAAGTTTGCGTACCTGGAACTAACAACGATGTACTGTGGGCAAGGCTCTTTCTGGAGGGTCCTGGACGGCCATGGAGGGAGATATCGCGGACCTACCGATTTCTCCAAAGTTCAGGAACAAAGATGCCGGGCTTATTCAGAAAAGCGACAGGTTGATAGCAGACGTGGATGGCCTTGCCGTTCTTGGGTGTTCGTATGCAGGCAGGCCGCAAGCTGCAAAAGATGATTGACGGTTTGGGAAACTCCCAACTTGACTCAGGTGGGTGATGTAACGGCGTCGAAACAACTTTCGGTGTAAAAGGACAAGAAAGGGTGCAACCATGAAGCTCGATTGCAGTCTTCCCTAGGTTGTCATTTCGATTGATGAGCTAGACCATTTCTCGTTGCGTGCTGCCTTATCTTGCCAGGGCATGGACATCTCGGCAACCTGGATCATTGCGTGCCCTCATTGCGTGGCAGGGGAAGGTGACGACAAAGTATTCAGAATGCATTGGAAACTGCAAGATCCAGACCAACAGTGGAAATGGATGCATCTCCGTCAGGTACGGAAAGATCCAGTGCTATTCTCGGTCAACGGCCCCACTAGAGCTTCAAGCTGGCCTTACGCAGTAAAGATGCACCTTGAGACTTAGGTAATCCTTCCAGACGCTCGGAGCCTCCCTTCATCCCAACTCCGACAAGATTCGAGACACATCTACCATCTGTGACACTGTCCCAAACCAACCCATCTTTATGCCTTGGATATTCCCGTTATCATCTTTTTGCAGCATCACCCAATCTTACTTCATTCTTGTGTCAGCCTCGCCCGGTCTACGCGCCACAACCGACCAACGTCCCCTTTGTCCGTGGACCCGCGAATTCTCCGACTGGAACGTCACAAGCTGACCTAACGACATTGGCCCCATCTGTGTCTACGTCTGCGTCTGCTTTCTGCCATTTTGGCTATGAGATCCTCGCACCATTCCCCCGGATCTTCGAGGCCTTAATCGGCGCTTTCACACTCAATCTCCCTCTATCCCTCTCGAGCTCACTTAGGCTTTATCCCACACCAACAGCCAGTAGTCTCACCCCACTCTCTCTACCATTCACGGCTTCGTCCGTGTATACCCTCCAACGTAGACTTCCGTCTGCAAACGAGGCTCTGGCAGTCTCCCATCTCCGTCACCTTCGTTCCTTCTCTTATTGTTGCAGTAACAGACGAAGAAGGAAGCAGCCGCGCCTGGCGGTCCTGCCATTTTTCAACAGAACCATTGTATTTCTATAGCGTCTGAGGAAAGTCTTGTCACAATGTCCTTTGTAGACCTCAAACACATTCCCTGTCCCAAGGGAGAGCAATGCACAGCTTTCATGTGCCTCTTCCAGCATAAAGCAGACAGGGATAAGATGGCGGCACCATCAGCACCGGCACTCAACGCGTCAGGAACGTCGGCAAAAAGGTCGACTGATACCACGACGGATGCAACCCGGGATGGCCCTCGAAAACGTCTGAAGGTTGCCCAAGACGTCAGAAACCCCGCCGATTCTACAAGTCCTCCCACTCCTGTCAAAACGACCTCAAAACAAGACGTTACCGCACCAAGACCAGATGACACTCTGTCACCTGTCGCTCGGCCCATCTCACCTCCACCTTTAAAGCGTCCATCGTCCTCCTCCTCCACGGTCGTGAAGAAGCTTCCACAGTCTAAACCAGTCGCCCCTTCTCTCGCTTCTTCGTCCGACCTCAGGAAGTCACTGAATCACTCTGCTCCAAGCAGGTCCTCTCCTTTATCATCGTCTATTAATCCTCCAACTAAACGCAAGGCTGAATCACCTGCCACTACTGCATCTCATTCTTCCCCAGTAAACCTAACTTCAATACAAAAAGACACTCCTTCCACTCCATCCAAGACCGACCCTCCTAAGAAGATCAGGAAGGTCGAGGCTCTCAACCCTCGTTTACTCAAATCATCACCAGCAAAGTTTGAGATACGATTCAAGCTAGTGCAACTGCTACATGAACAATACGCCCGCCTGAACAACGAGCTCAAGAAGACTGCCAAAGACGCAGAAGAGAAGCAGCTCCTTCTCACAGATCAAGATCTCATTTGGAGAGTCCTTGACGAAGAAGAATCCACGGCGATAGAGAAAGGCGCCATCTACTCAAACGTAATCAAAAACAAAATCATGCAGTACAAGAAGATGACACTCCTTCAGTGGAAGGAGGAGAGAGTCGTTCAACGCCGCCAGGCAACTCAAAAGGGCCCTCACAACAAGGCTACCGCCCCTCCCAAGAAGATTGTTACGGGCTTGACCCCGGCACAGGAAGTCCAGCTTGTTCGCCAACTCATCACCCCCATCGACGGCCTTGCCGCCCACGGCTACGTCTCCTCTGTCCCTGCCGAGGCCGACATCCAGAAAGCACGTGAGGGTCTTGATGCTGCAAAGGGTTGGGAGAAGTGTGACCGCTGCGACAAGCGCTTCCAGATGTTCCCTGGAAGAAGAGAAGAGGATGGAGCTCTCGCCTCTGGTGGCAGTTGCACCTTCCACTGGGGCAAAACCTACTTTCCCGAGCGCCAGTTGGGCGATAGATCTCAGCAACCCAAACGCTACCGATGCTGTGGGCAGGCTGTCGGAGACTCTGCCGGCTGCCACTCCAACGCTCACCACGTTTTCAAGGCATCAGATCCCAAGAGACTGGCTTCCGTTCTCAACTACGCCGAGACGCCTGCCAACCCCAATGCTCCCACCGACAGAGCTGTTGGCTTCGACTGCGAAATGTGCTACACGGTCCATGGCCTTGAGCTCATTCGCCTAACTGCAACATCGTGGCCTACTGGAGAAGAGCTATTGGATGTCCTCGTTCAACCCATCGGTGAAATCCTTGATCTCAACTCGCGGTACTCGGGTGTGTGGCCTGAAGACATGGCATCCGCCGAGCCCTGGACTGCAAAGGAAGAAGATCCAACTCCTGCCCAGGCGAAGAAGATGTCGAGCCCCAAGAAGACCAAGAAGAAGATGAAGATTGTGTCGTCGCCTGAAGTTGCTCGCGACCTTCTCTTTGCCCTCATCAGTCCCGAGACTCCACTAATTGGACACGGACTGGAGAATGACTTGAACGCCGTTCGCATCGTCCACCCTACTGTCATTGACACTGTTCTTCTTTACCCTCACAAGCACGGCCTTCCGTACCGCCTTGGCCTGAAGATGCTCATGGACAGCCTTCTTAACCGTAAAATTCAAGTTGAGACGGCTGGCAAGGTTCAGGGACACGATAGTGCGGAAGACGCCCGGGCTGCGGGAGATCTCGTGCGCCTGAAGCTCTCCGAGGAATGGAAGAGCATGAAGCTCAAAGGTTGGAAGCTTGAGGGGGGTGAGTTCGTGCCGCCCGGCGGCAAGGTGGACGATTTCAATGGTCACTTGACTGCCGAGTTCCTTGAATCTGCCCTTTAGAGCCGGGTGGGCATAGCACATGGTTGATTTTACGAGAGAATGAGCTGGCGTTCGGGAGGACAAGGGGTCCTCAGGGAAATGATGCCTTGGGTCGATGGGCTTTTGCAGTTATGATACCTACCCTACATGGGTTTTCTTAATACTAATTGGTACATGGGACCATTCTCACTCAGCTATTCTTGACTTATTTTTCCACGATGTGATTGCTTGCGTGCGACTATCTAACGTGTACCTATCCGGTGAGTAACAAAATAGTCGCTTGGCGTTTCTTCATCCATCGGGTAAGCATCGTACTGTTTGGACCACGGGCAAGAGGGGTAAATACTCAATGACTGTTGCATTGTAGACAACTCAAAATCGTGACAAGAGGGGGTGTGAAGTGACCAGAACGCATATTAGAGAAGCATGTGTGGAAATGTCGACAAGATTAACTTTTTACCATCTGCGAGACTGTTCAGGATGTCACCAGTGCTCTCGGTATTCGTCTTCGGGTGCTTTCTAGGTGCTGTCACGGAGTTCTTGGCCATTGAAGAGAGCTCTACATCACATGATCGATGTGTACACTCCACAGCTTACCCTTCAGCCCGCCTAAGAAAGTTGGGCTTTCACAAAAACCAAGGGTACGGCACGAAACAAGTGTGTGGAAAGGCGGCAGAATTCATTGCCCTATGATTACACTTATTGAAGCGGTGACTTGCCTTCAAAGTCTATAATACAGCGTCGCCCTCTTTTTTTCACTACTTCATCCACTCCTTCTTGACATCGTGACCAACCACTTTACGGCCGGCCAACGTTCAACAGCATCTGGTTACCGCTCTTACCGCCGCTCGGCAAGTACGCGACATTCGGATTCGACGACAGCGTCGCCGCGATATCCCGCGCGGCCTCAATCTTTCGAATCTGCACGAGGCCGTCGCCGTTCTTGGCGATGGCCTTGCTGATCGTCTCGGCGGACTCGGCCTCGCCCTCGGCGCGGATGACGTTGGCCTGGCGCTCCTGCTCGGCCTTTTCGACGATGAAGCGCGCGCGCTCGGCGTCCTGCTGGGCAATCTGCTTCTGCTCGACGGCCTTTGTGAACTCCTTGCCGAAGGTCATGTGCGTGATGGAGACGTCCTCGAGGGCGATGTTGAACTCGGCGGCGCGCTTGCGGAGGTCGGAGCTGATGCGCTGGGAGACGGCCTCGCGCTGGGTGATGAGCTCGGCGGCGTCGAACTGGGCGACGATGGACTTGAGGACCTCGTTTCCGATGGAGGGGAGGACTCTCTCGTCGTAGTCTTGGCCGAGGTTCTGTAGTGTGTAGTTTGTCAGCGTATATTACACTTTTCCAGCACAGAGGGAAGTTGTGGTTTAGATGGAGAAGAAAAAAAAACTAAAAAAACTCACCTGGTAAATCTTGGGGAGGGCCTGGACTTCGGGCCGGTGCAGCACACGAAGGGTCAAGCTGACCATCTGGAGATCCTTGCTGCCCGTCGTCGTCGCGATGTTTCTTGGCTTCGTCCGCACGTCAAAGATGATGCTCCTCTGCAGCCACGGCACGAGGAAGTGCGTGCCCTCATTGATGACGGCGTCCTTGACACCGGACATCCTGTCAAAGATGACTGCTCTGGATCCACCCTTGACGTCGTAGATTGACGACTGCACGACCGCGATACCAATGGCCGCAGGAACGGCCATGCGGTACGCAAAGCCCAGAGCTTGAGCCATTATGTCGGATGGCTGATGAAAGCGTGGCGGTAACTTTCGTTTGCGTTAAAAGGAGGGGCGCTTCGAGTCCGCTGGAGGGTATCGCGGGCTATCCGAGTTGAGCTTCGAGGGGTGGGTTCGTGGTGGTGGGCTGGTGGTGTAGTGTATCCGTCAGGACTGAAGCTTGCCGAAAGCTCCTCTCACCAGAATGCGGCGGCGGTAAGCTCCGTCATGGAATTTTGGGACGCACTGGGTGACCGGGGTGGTCGGATGGGTGGTGACGGTTCGAAAGGGACGTTCTGCGCTAAGCAGTTTCGGGACGTGCGCCTCAGCTTTCGGGTTCGGCAGGAAAGGCAAGGACAAGATTTGAACCTCGTCCGATTCGACCCTCTCCGATTTACTCCAGAATATCCAAACCCGTGTTGCACATCACCGTCCACCACAGCACAACCGCCACGATGAGACCTACGCAAGCTCTTATGGGAGGACCCAGCGTCCCCCATGGAAAGTACTCTCAGTAAGTGAATTCCTTGTTGGAGGTCAATTGAGCGGGCCAACGGGAAGGAGCGTGCGGGCTTTTTCCGAATGAGAAAGATCATGAAGTTCCCTCTGCCCGCCGCGCCATGCACTGCTCCCAATTGCATCGTTTGAATAGCCCGCTGACATTGAAATAGCTACCTCGGCTGGTGGGGACACATTGGTATGTCTTTTCGCGATTATCCCGATGTCGGATTACGATGGCGACGCGGTTGAACGATGGACAATGGTTTTCGGAAAATGGAGAAATTTAAGAGGAGGGACTCGTCTAGGATTCGACGGCTGATTACGATGCACAAACGATACGCATTTCGAATCGAACATAAGTACTGACAATAGTCTCAGGTGGCGAGAAGCAGAGAGGCATCATCACCTACGGCATCACCCCCAACCGCCAGAACCCCTTCGCTGGCGCCGCCCACGACGCCGTCTTCAACACCTGGCGCCGCTTCAGCCACCAGGTCCTTTACTTCCTCCCTCCCCTGGTCGCCGGCTGGTACATCATGGACTGGGCCACCCACCGGTCAGTCACTCCCACGGACTCGGTTGCAACAACAAACGCAACAACGAGGGCAATCCGAAATGAAGCAAAGGCATGGCGCTAACAATCGATACAGCAACCACTACTTGAACTCCAAGCAGGGCCGCGCCGAGTTCGGCGACGAGGAGTAAACGTTCCTTTGTGAAGAAGGCGGACGACGAGTGCTAGAGGTGGACAACGATTCCCTGTGTCAAAACACGTGTATATCAACTACGTAGAGGGGGAGACATGGAATAGAGCCCCATTTGGACGATTTAAGCATATCTCATATTCTATGATTGAAGACGTATTTCACATGATTAGATGTTGACTGGTCCCTTAACTCGCAACGGATCTTCGTAAGGCCTGAAAACATTGATGCGAGTGTCTGAGCCGAAGATGTCGCAGCACCCTGCTTTGCTATACCGTCAAGGCTGAATCCTAGCTGCCCAGCCTGGATCTAGTAAGACGAGTAGTCCGACCCTCCAATGCGTTCGTATTGTCCGTGGAAATTGAATCATGTCTGCGGCCCTGATACAGCGCTGACATTTGCTCAATATCGGGACCGTGATTGGTCGGCTGTATTCACGTGACCTACTCACCGAGACATACCCTTCGGTGAGCAAAAGCCAATGCAGTTCGGCGCGGATATACCGTAGCACCGAAGCTCCCCAATCGCACAGCTGCAAAGGTGGGGCAACCTAGAAAAAAGTTGCATTGGCCAAAGGGTACAGGAAGAGAAAAAAAATCGAGCCTATCGACCTCGAGCCGAAAGCTTCAATTCCCACGACCGTCGCCTGCCCACCTCGGAGTCCCTCGCCGTCGCCAATCGCCAATTGCACCCTTCCTCTTACAGGTTTCAATTCAAAGCATCACCAAAGAAAACCGCTACAATGGCCGCCGAGAAGCCCGACCGCAAGGAGAAGAAGGACAAGAAGCGCTCCGTGTCCGACGGCGCCATCAAGAAGGACAAGAAGGATAAGAAGGACAAGAAGGAGAAGAAGGAGAAGCTCGAGCGCGCCCTCGACGAGCACCTCCAGGCTGACGTCGCCGCGACCACCGTCGCCAGCGGCGATGTCACCACCGTTGTCGCTGATGGCCTCCCCGTCGTCGGCGCCCTCGTGCCCTTTGCCGTGCCGTTGGCCGATGAGAAGGCCATGAAGAAGGTTATGAAGTCCATTCGCAAGGGTAAGTTCTTCCCCCCCCCCCATTTCTCACCTCCTTCATAGACGCGGTACCTACGCGGATCTCATCGGCCAGCAAGAAAACTCTTCGTTCTCAGAACAAAAGACTAATAAACACCTTCACAGCCGCCAAGAACAACACCCTCAAGCGCGGCGTCAAGGAAGTCGTCAAGACCCTCCGCAAGTCCCCCGCCGCCGGCCCCGGCAACACCGCCTTCCCCGGCGTCGTCGTCATCGCCGGCGACATCTCCCCCATGGACGTCATCTCCCACCTCCCCGTCCTCTGCGAGGACCACAACGTCCCCTACATCTTCGTCACCTCCCGCGCCGAGCTCGGCGCCGCCGCCAAGACGAAGCGCCCTACCTCCGTCGTCATGGTCTCGGAGAAGCGCTCCGCCGCCGACAGCAAGAAGGCCGAGAAGAAGGCCGGCGAGTCCAAGGGCGACGACGAGGAGGACGACGGCGAGGACTACTCCGAGGTCTACGCTGCGCTCGTCAAGCTCGTGCAGAAGGAGACTGCTAAGCAGTCCTTCTGGGCATAAACGAGTAAGCTTCTGCTGCTACTATTCGTCTTACCGGTACGCGCATACGCGACATGTCGAACGGGAAATACAGTTGAAAAGAAATGATGAATTGTCACACTATACGGGTGGGGTTAAAAAAGCTTTTTTCGGGCTGGCTTTACAACACAAAAGAGAAAGAATTCGGCGTTTTATAGGGCAACTTTGGGCATATGGTGTAGTACTCTTTTGTTCGCACTACTCCTTTCTCTCTTTCCATCTTTCAAGATTCTGTCTTGAGGAAAGAAGAAACACAAATAAATGATTTAACCATCATTACAACTTCCGTTGGAACCTTTAAGGGTGCGGAGGTGTGGAGGAAATCTCTCTTGCTTTGCCGGGGCTCTTTGACACGAGGTGTCGGAAGCCCTCTTGATGTTTTCCCTTGTGACCTTTTGCCTGGTTGAGGGCCTTTCAAGGCACTCTGTCCCGCCAGTCGGCTTCCATCGGCCGTGCAAATTGTGATGTGTATCTTTCCACCTAAGAAAGACCTGCCCGTCAAAGCAAAGCTCTCGTGCTCCCCTCCTACATGAACGAGTTGTAAGTGCTATGGGTAAATAATCCAAGGCATGTTGCAGTGTGGCTCTTTGATGATCCGAGGTGTTGACGCGTGGTGGAGATACTTGTCGAGTGGCAAGCAATGTCTGCTAGCTGAGAAAGCACGTTTCCCTTGCCGAGTAACTCAACACAAATAAAGACACAAATCCCTCGTTGTTCTTTGCTGGTCGCGGCACTCACACCCCGCCGGTATTATATCTTCACTTCATGTGTCATGACACAACATTGGGTGAATATCTTAAGTGGCACACTGGTTAAGCTATAAAGGAAGGTATTTCATAAAACACTCAGGTGCTAATGCGAAGATAGTTTTAGGTGATTTAATTAATGGAATCATGGCTTGAGACGTAAAAGTGTAGGTACATGACAATGGCCCTAGCCGCAATTGCTGGCTATCTTTGAACTCCATGTCCTCATCCCATCTTACCCAACGCTAATAGCACACAAGCAATCCGTTTTCCGGAAATGCTGAATCATTCATAATACATTAAACCCTTTAGTCGAAGGGGTTGGTGCGGGTTCCCCACCAGGTGAGGAATACCGACAGACCGACAGTCTCAATGACCTTGGCCAGGACGCTGACGCCAACGGTGTCGACAGGGCGCTTTTCAACAAAGACCTGGGAGATGTACTGCATACTTGTTAGTAATTGAAGGACGGTGAAGGGTGAAGAAATATGACATACGCCGGGAGCAGAGGTAGCGAAGAAGATCAGAGAGCCGAGGTAGGCAGCGCCCTTGTAGGACAGGGTGCCGGTAGCGTTGATGAGAGCACCAACACCGTAGGACTGGAGGGCAGAGCCGACGAGGGAAGTACCCCAGGCGACAGCGGCACCCTGAGCCTCCTTGGAGCGAGCGAACTCCTCCTTGGTGTTGGCAGCCTTGGCGCGCTGGTAGGTCTGGCCGAAGATGGGGGTCAAGACTGTTGAGGGGGAGGAGCTTGGGTCAGCTGATTCTGTCATGGAATGGCCCGGGGTCCAGCATGGAGTCTTGGTGAGAGACATTTCACGTACCAGCGAGCTCAGCCGTGTGGTTGAAGATGGTGCCGAGGGCAATAGCCGAAGGCTTGACGGGGGGAAGGTCTGTTGCAGGAGATTGTTAGTTATTATTCTCATTCAACTGATGATGGCTGGGTTTCCTCTCGAGCCCAACGAAGGCGCATTCTCCCTCGGTAAGTCTGGATGAGAGGGCGAGCGAGGTAGCTGAGTAGAGCTACGTAGAGAAGGCGTGATGCTTTCTCAAGCTTCTCTCTCACAGCGGAATTGGAATAGCGACTTACAGTGCAGAGACATGATGGCTGATTTCTGGGGTATCTTATTGTGATGAAAAAAGAGAATCAATTGAAGTGATGTAAACAGAGCCAGATGAGTGGGAGGGCAAAGGCTTTTATGTGCTAAGGGAGGGAGAGAGAGAACTGGGCGGCGTGTGTGTGAGCCACCTGTGACCTCAGCCTCTGCAATGCAAAAGGAGGTAACCGGAGCAAGGCAAGTGCGTAACTACTTCGTACCTGTTCGTTCGTTCCAGGGCGAAACAAGAGAGGAGGGAAGCGTGGGAAGCTACTTTACCTTGGCTGGTGGTGGTACCTCAGGCGCCGCGAAGGGAAGGGGCCAGATCGAGGTCTCATTCCATCATCGGTTGGACCTGGGCTTCCTTCCCTCAGGCCATAAAAAAAATATGTACATGCTGCGGTAGGTAGAGCGTGAAGCATGAAGCTACTTTGGAACTAAGAGCGTAGCTGGACATGGTACAAGCAGGGGTGGGCAATTCGCTACGGAGAGACATGTCACAGAGCTCTCTCTCCCGTCTCTCTCCTTACTCCACTCTCTTTCTCACTCTCAGCTCACCTATTCCATTGAGATGTGTCAATGTCTGTTGTCCCAAGCTTCTCCAAAAACCCAAGCTATGCCTCTTTCACTCACGTCGCCCAGCTGTCGATGTCGTGGTGTCGTCACCTGTCGAATGATGTCACCACCCACCTTCCCCGCCGAACCCACAAGCCCAGGCCTATCCACTCACAATCGCTCCGATCATTGGTCGAGACCTCTCTCCTGTGGACCTTCTTGACCTCTCTCCCTGGGCCCGCATACTTCGTAGTTACTTCATACCCCCCAAGCTATCCGCATCTAGCCCGTCCCGTCGACCTTCTGGGCCGTCTGGGTTTAGCACATCATCCTTTCCATCAGCTTGAGCTTTCTTCGCCCGCGTATGCCCGTGAGGGAGTTTTCCGCGACAAGGTCCCGGAGCGAGTCCTCCTCGACTCCCCTGCATTTTCCTCAGGCCCTCAGGCCCTCAGGCTCTGTGGCTCTGTGGCTCCCACCCGCAGTAGGTAAGGTTGCCGTAAACAAAACACAGTGGAGAGTGATTGACAAAAATCTGGAGCAAAAAAACGATCGAGATGCGACTTTCCTGTGTGGCTAGTGCAAGATTCACACTTCCCGTGTCTCCTCATCACCCCATGCCCGAGGCAAATGATGCTCAGGCACTCGCGCACTCCCAGGTCAATGCAATTCCAATTTTGTCCATACAAACTGCGCCTCTTTTCCGGTTCCCAGGCCCTGCCAACTTCTGCAATGTACATAGCTCCCGCCGAGTCTAGGAAAACCGCATTAGCAAGGGTAGCTGAGCTACCTGACGTACGGATGGTATCATTGCAGCGTAGAATTTCGTTTCTCGAATGGTCGCCCGCATTCACTTGTGCATAATCCAGCTGCTCTAGCTCAGGTACAAACAAGGCAAGAAAAGACGGAATGTCGGAAATATCGTCTAGCTCGTCCACGGCTCAACGTCCACAAGTTCCCATCGTCTACCTTTACACTGTCACTGCCAACCCGACATTTCCATTCAATAACATGTTCTCGCTGAACGTCGAAAAGGCTGGTGGCCTGGCATGTATTCCTGAAGCTCTACAGAATCGTACCGACATTTTGCAGTCGTGCCGCCCAATAACTCCTCTTACCATCCCTTTACCAAATGTTATTAATACACCGCTGCACCACGAAGTTGAAGCCGCTGGTGTTCGCTTTGCCCAATTCCATGCCAGTACAGTACACCAGATTCCCTTCTACAGTCCCAACCCAGTTCTACGCCATATGCTGACCGTCTTCGCCTCCACGCAATGCAAGCAGCGCCCTCACGTCCGACACATATTGGAGACCCTCGAGCAGTGGCACTAGATGCAAGAGATCATTGTCTGTCGGGTCGTTAATCCAGCCTTGAATAGGGATGGCGTTATCTAGCGACGAGGCCCACGTTAGTCGAATTCCCACATATAGATCGTATACTGCCATTACACACCTTGATGGAACATGTAACTCAGTGGACTATTATCCAAGATCATGACCTTGCTCAAGTCCGGCTCAACGGAACTAAGGTCCTTGATGAAGGCTCCCTGTCGGAACGTGCAGTGCTGTCTGTAGTATCGCGCCGAGAAGAATTTCCTCTCTGCCTCTAACCAGTCTATCACGGGGTCCGCATATTCCTGGACCGAGGCCGTGAAAACGACGAGGTTATACCATTTGCAAACCTTCATCACACGATTAGCGCCAACTACTTGTTCAGTCATTTTGAACAATGCTTACCCGACGGAGGAAGTCATCGCAGTGTGGACGTTTGTTAACCCAGTACAGAATGGGATGCTGCGGTCCGATCGATGTTTGGCCTCCGGCACCGACATAGGTCTGGTTTAATCTGACCTCAACCATATGCCCCGTACTCATGCGTCCCCCCTTGGACATGCTGTGAATCAGGGTTTCGTCGAGGTCCAGAATGAGAGTCTTTTGGTACTTGGGATCGGTCGAAGGCTCGAGGTTGAGGTATGATGGTTGTCGTCGAGGAATCAAGGGTCGAGGAGGGGCCGGTGTCTTTGGATATCGCGTCAGCGCGCCTGCGGGAGACGTCGGAGACTTGAGTTGCGCGGAAATGTCGGAAGAGCCAGATTCACCACTGCCCTTGGGCCGTGCTGCCGCAGACTGCGTCTTTCGGTGCTTTCGTTGCGGAAGAGCATCCTCACTGTGTAGCTTGATCCGAATAGACCTCCGTGCTGGCGCAATCTCTTCCGCTGCGGACTTTGAACGCGAGTGTCGACCGGTAGAGCCCCGGCGTCGGCGATCGGCATCCGAGTCTGATTCTGAAGATATGCCTGAAGAAGATGAACCTGATGATCCCACTGGTCTTGAGTACGCAACCCCTCCATATCCGGCGCTACCCTGCCGGCCCGACTTTTCGTCCACGGAGCCAGCAAAGTCTGTCGCGAGCTTTTTGTTGCTTCTATTGTGCAAGCCGAATAATCTTTTGAATGGATAAAAGAGCGAGAAATCCCCTGCGTCGTCATAAAGGCAGGCAATCAGATACACGCCCGGGGCGGCAAGGGTGGACAATACCCAGCGGAGGGAATTGATGAAGCCGGCAGCGATGCGCCGAGGCAATGAGTGCCATGAAGTTGATCTCAGCCCTACTTCTTTCGATTCTCCCCCTATTAGCGGCGTAGCTTCGCTCGCGAGGTCTAATGCACCATGTGCGTCGTTGCGCTGTTCGAAAGCCGTCTTTTCGAGGGGGAAAACATCTTCGTCTTGGTCGTCGCCCTGTTTGTCTGCGCCTTCGCCACTCTGCTGGTCGCTGTCAGGTTGGACGGCCAATCCCAAGGAGCCAATGGAGTTGGATCGCGAGGCAACCGGACTCGGCGGCGGAGAGACGCGAGAGGTGATGATATTCAGGGAGTTCATCTTTGATAGGATATGCAATCCATGAGGCATGGAGGGTCGACGGCGGGTTGCGATGCGGGAGTGAAAGGACTTAGGAGACGTCGAGGGTCAATAGTAAGGGGTGGTTTCGGTGGTCAGGAATGTTCCAGACGTTCCGCGCGACGAAGGAGGCGATGTATTCGCAGTCGCGTTGGGAGAAATGGGCGTCGAGCGAGTATTTCGAATACACCGCAGTAGGGAGAAGCGAGTGTAGGGTTGACAAACGTCTCAAAGGTCTGCCGCTGAGTCTGTAATGCTTAGTGGGATTGCGTAAGGTTGAGGTGAGGTACTCGACGAGTCTGTCGTGATCGTGGTGGTTGTGTTCGTAGTCGGGAATGCAAGCCGGCGGGCTGTCCAGATGGTTTTCCCCCCAAGTCCAAGGAACGGCAACAATCAGCTCGCCATAGGCGAACGAGGCCCAGGAAAATGAAAGCGCGAGGTGGTGGCGCTGGTGAAAAAGGTTCGTCCGTCGACAGCTAACAGACGCTAAAGTGATATGTGGCCGTCAGCGCAAACCTGTCGATTAGACCTTGAGACCTTGAGAGGGGAGGAAAGACGCAAAAAGGGTCAGTCGGGCTTTCGGGAGTTGGAGGTATCGAGGCGGCCGGGATGCGGTAGTGTTGAAAGGCAATGGATGAAAAGGACAGGGACCTGGTCTGTGATTGGAGGTGTCGGCAAGTAGTCCAGTACCTGAGGTACGGGTAGTTAAAGCAAGATGAGGTGAGGTAGAGGCGCGAGTGGAAGCCGCGGAAAGGAACCTGAGCAAGCAAGCAAGTGGAGGGGAGCAACAGTAAGGTAGGTGCAGCAGCAGCAGCAGCAGCTCAACACTATGGAAATCTGCTGGGTTTGGCCGGGTTGGACCGTGGTGGCACTGGGATAACGATTTGATGCCGGCCGGTATTGACGGTATTGGTCCAGGGCTGACCGTGGGGTTACACTGCCTGCTGACCCTTGTGGGGGAATGGGCAATGAAGATAGGTTCACGTGTCGAATTGTTCACTTTATTCCACTGGACCACTGGACAACTATCTCTTGCCGCCTCATCTTTTCCACTCGCTGTTGCAGTTTTTGGAAGATGCAGGACGTGGGTGATGAGCGGGCCAGCTGCTGCCAAGCGGCTACGTAATGGATGTACCTCAGCCCACATTCAGAGGTATCTATCTTCCCCAACACAAACTGGCAGGATGAGGAGTGGGATAACAGTACCTGCGGAACTAAGCCTGTAAGGTACATAGGTATGAATCAGTTGACCTTTTTATACACACTATTTCCTGCAATGTCATATGTCCTTTCAATGTTACCATCTCCAGCAGTATCTTTCTCTGCCACGGGCATCAGCTCTCGCTAACAATGGCAAGGATTTGTGTGAAATGATTGAAAACGTCCATCAGCCGATACCGAGCTACCTTGCTCTCTGGCTGTAATCTTGAACTGTGTGCTCGTCTTTTTCCCATGTGAAAGAGAGCCACTCCACTTTTGCTGTCGTTGTTGAGGGTTTGATTGAACAGCGACAGGGCCGACAGGGCACGAATCGGGGGGCCGCAGTCTGCGGGCACTCTGAATCTGCAGCATCCAAATCTTTGGCGGAATACGGCCTCTTTTGGGCCTCGCAATTCCGATCCATCACTTTTCGTATCCGTGTTCCAATGCCGCTCAACCATTCGCTCCGAGCTCTCATCCCAAGCCCAGGCAGTTCCTTTTGTCTGCCTGAGAAAAAACCCCTCGTTGAACCAGAAGCCTATGGAGACCTTTCACTAATTCAATAGAGTCGCAGCCAGGATACATGACTATTGTCTACACCTCTAATAAGAGAGATCCTTTCTGTCATTAGATGCTCGTACGAGTTCCCTGTCATGTTGGGTGTGGTTGCTTCTTAGAAGGCAATTGAATGGCACATGTTCTAGACTCAACTCACAACCCAAGTAGCAGCCTAGGACATGGTTTGCGGAAACTCACAATAAATCCTACCACAGACCGCTGATACTACCAGAATGCTTCAGATGCCAGAGAAGGGAAGAAACTTTTTAGTTAAAGCTGAGGTGTAAGATGCATGCTTGAACCAAGATGACAGGCCATCCCGATATATTGCCTTCGCGCTTGTTCCTATGGGCAATATAGGCGCAATGGTGTAGATGCTTTCTCGTAAATCATTTGAGACAAAAGCAGTGTTCATGAAGTATATCGAGAACATTTTTCTAGCTCCTCGGAAATTCGATAGAATAAAGCCGCAATCTACTCGACTTACAGTGAAGCACTCTGAACATAAGATTAGGTCGTTTGGGTGGACTAATTTTGCAGACAGAAACTCTGAAAAACAGAGACAAGCAGCAATAAAATCAGATTCCAAAAGAAGAGGTCAATATCACAACGGCCCATTTACTTTTGAGACATAGCAGTTGGTGGCATTCCAGGGCACATTTTCGGCCCAGAAGCAAGGAACCTCAGGGTTTCTGTCAACCTGGTAGATGACGAGCAGCTCGCAGCCAGAGTGCGATAGCCAACCACTTGATGCCCCTAACGCATCACTTACAGCAGAAATTCAGCGAGCCAACGTCATTTTGCAGTGATGGAGGGGTATTCGAGCAGTGGAGTGCTTCCGCTGAAGTGTGATTGGGAACACCTGGAGTTCCACAGGTGTCCCTCCTGATCCGGGTTGCTTCGGGCCGAGACTAGCCCGCTGTCTAGGGCTGCCATTTACCGGTGCCAGCTGGCTGAGCTGGTAAGGGAGGTGCGAGACGGAGCTTGTGGTCACCCAATGCCCCTCGAAATTTTTAGCGTGACAGGGGTCGTTCATTGTCCCTCTCTGAGCTTCACAGTTGAGTCACAACCGTTTGCGCACAATTTACAATTCTCCATTCAGTCCACGCCCGAAGCTAGACCAACGGCCATTGATCGGTACATCCACATTGTGCAGCGACTGAAGACAACCAGATTGCCATTTCGGAATATCTTGCGACTTCAGTAACCCCCATCGATCAATCCCGAAAAGTCTTTGCGACGACTCACTCCCACCCCTCCCAACATCGGGCCTTGATTTCGGCGACAGCACCCACCACCGAAAATGGCTACCGTGAAGCCCAGCACGGGGGACCTCGAACGGTACCTCAAAACCCTGAAGGGTAAGCCTTTGGAAGCGTCAATTGACAGTCTCATCTCGTACGTATCTTGCCGGCCGTATGATCCTTTTCTACCCCTGCCTCGGCCGCGCTAATCCTTGAATCCGCCAGTCTCCTGAAAAGACGACAGATCCAGGGCTCCGAGCTCTGCGCTGTTGCGACCGCACATATTCTCCTTCAGGTTGTGGCCAAGTCGAAATGGAACGACGTCGACTCGTTGCTGGAGAAGGTGCAGCAGATCGGATTGCGCCTCATCGCCGCACAGCCCAAGGAATTGGTCGTTGGCAACATCGTTAGACGCGTGTTGAGCCTGATCCGAGACGAGGCTGCCGAGGACCGAAATGAAGACTTTAGTGAGACTGCCACAGAAGTTGGAGGAACCCCGACGACAGCAGTGCCAGACCCCTCCAAGCTGGAGCACCAATGGCCCCCCTCTACATATACCAAGCAGGATGCCGGTTCAGACTACATCACGAGCGGCCCAAGACCCGTTCGCCCCGGCTTCCTCACGTCCGCGAGCTCTTTCCACGTCTCAAAGTCTCTCTTTTCCCTTCTCGAGGCGTCACCCCCAGTGGACACTGCTGGCATCATGGCCGGATCGCCGTTTGGCAAGGACTCTGGCGCTTCAACACCCCTTCGTGGACAGTCGACTAGGGTGCACGCTCTGAGATCAGAAGTCTGCGAGGGTATCGAGGAGCTCAAGGACGAGATCGGCCAGGTGGACGACCAGATTGCAGGAGCTGCGGATGTTCAGATTCACCCCGGAGACTATGTGTTGGTGCACCAGCCTTCAGCCACGGTCCAGAAGTTCATCCTACGCGCTGCAACAAGAAGAAAGTTCACCCTGTTCATCGCTGCCGGAACGGCTGCCTGCTCCAGTGGGGAGCCGCCATATGCATCTTTCAGGAAGAAGCTTGCAGCAGCGGGCATCAGTGCGATCAACATCCTCAACAGCGGTCTGATGGCCTACATGCCCCGGATTAACAAGGTGATTCTGGGAGCAAGAGCCGTCCTGGCCAACGGCGGCATCCTGACAGATGCAGGCGCTGGTGTGATTGCACGCGCAGCCAAGGAGCAGGGCAACCCGGTGATTATCCTCAGCGGCGTCTACAAGCTCTGCCCAGAGAGCTACTTTGACGAAGAGAGCCTCGTAGAATGGGGAAGCTCTATGGGCCATGTCAGCTTCGCAGACGGAGCCATGGTCAACGGTGTCGACGTTCGCAGCGCAGTTAGTGAATTTGTGCCTCCCGAACTGCTCGACACCTACATTACCAATCTGTAAGTCCATGATCCCAAACATGACGGCGTTGAGCCACAACTGACATGCTACACAGTGGCGCACACTCGCGGAACCATCTGTCCACTATCATCGCGGATCACTACAAGCCAGAGGATGTTGATTTCCATCTCTGGAGCACGGAGGCTGACCGATGAGTGCTGCCTCTGAAGTATGTCTCTATGGGAAACCCTGGCACGTTTAACGCTGCAGGGGACGCGACAGCGGCGTCCGCGGCCGTGGGGATGATTCGTGGCCCGAAGACGAAAGCGAACTTTCAGCCCTGGCCCAGCTATTGAATGATGATACCAGGCGCATGCATGGCCTGGGTTCCGTACAAGTATACTAATTCGCGGTTCAATCCTGGGCCCCTTCTCTCTCTAGGGCTAGGGTGAGTTGGTTCGGCAGCACGGCGTTCAGTTTGGAGGGGTAACACAAGCTCGAGAGGTCGCGGCAGCGTTTCCAACGGCATGGTAGAGAGACCCACTGGATTGCAGGCTTATGTGGCTTGATGTGGAGGGATTACACTGATGGCGTATTGCTGCCTCCGAAGAGGCCGCGTCAGCGCGTTGCAGCACAGAGAGCCTTCTCGAAGAAAAGTGACTGCGGGCTGCTCTTATCCAGGGTTCAATTTAGCGGTGGCTTTTTATTTCATTGGGGGAGGGGAAACCTTGAACAATCGGGGATTGCGAACAAACGCGTGCCCCTCGCAACTTTTGGCTGCGCCGTGGACCGCAGGGGTCGCCCTCAAACAAGGTTGATGCTTATCTTCACCTGGCGTGGGCTCGGCCGCACCGCTTGGGCTCCCGAGGGGTGTGGGGTTTGACCCCCGACCTCTCTATTGAGTGACGAACTGTGGTTCACCGTTCGAGGGGTGGGAATTAGACGTCGTAAGGCTACGCGAACGAGGGGACAAACTGGTCAGAGAGGTTCGCTAGTGGGAAAGCATGGCCATTTGTTCTTGCAAGGTTGAGAATTGGAGAAATGTGATGTAGGGGAGGAGAGGAGGATTGAGTCAAACGGTCAACGGAAGGCCCAACCTTAGCCCAGCCAAGCTACAACAACCAGCTAGCTAATAAGCTCATCAAAGTGCCTTGTATCCCACACTTTCTTCATCCGCCATGTGCCGTAGCGCCGTTTTCCACAGTCTTGGGTTTACTCATCTTGGCCTCTTTTCCATCTCACCTCTCGTCGCAAACTACCTACCTTACTCTCTTGTGTTTGACCCACCAGTTTAGTGAACAATTTGATAATCTCATCATCGTCGCGAATCAAATATCTTCCAGTCTCGACAACTCTGCTTCCAGCCTCACAACATACCATCCCACGCCGAGCACAGGTCACCACCGCGAATGGCGGCCATGCGAGACCCCGAACTCGACGATGTGCCTCCTCCGCCGTACTCCGAGACAGACATCTACTCAAACTCTGGCCGGCCGTCAAATCCGCCCTCAAGCTCACCACACATCTCGTCTCATCATGGCGCCGACGACACTGCCTCGCGCGGCTCTTCGCACGCCTCATCGCACAGCGAAGTTATCTACACCCCGCCATTGACACCCCGCACCGGCGGCCCAGGCAGCAGCGGCGGCGGCGGTTTTCACCATCATAGCTCGAATGCGAGCCTCGACCTCTCCAGCCGCTCTCTCGCGGCAACTGGAGGAGGATCTCACCAGTCTCAATCTCTTTCGGGTTCAGTGTCGGCATCAACAACAGCGTACTCTGAGTTTACAGCATCCTACTTCGAATCCAGGCCGCCGCCCGCGGCACTCGCCCCGTTATCCAGGGACCAGCTTCTCGTCCACGCACTGACCATCAACCCGACCTCGACACCGGACGACGTACCCTACTCCCCGGCCTGGGCCCCCCGCGACGTCACGCAGCAGGACTGGGCAACGTTTCTCAATTGCCTGATCCCGCACCACGCTGCGGCACGGAACGAGGCCGTCATCGTCCGTAAGCTGCAGGCCGAGGAGGAGGCCCTTGCTGCCGCCGCCGCCGCTGCCAGGTCGAATGGAAGAGGTACGGGGCAGAGCAACAGCGGCGGTAGCGCTCATGCTTCGGCGCAACTAGATCAGATTCGCGCGGACAGGGAGACCGACCCCGGGGCGGCGGCCGTTGCTTCGGGTACAAGGAGAGAGGAAGCAGAAGGTGTGGTTGCGCAGTGGAACGAGGGGTTCTTCCGGCCCAGGGGCATGCTCATCACGCTGGTACCTGAGGTAGCGGAGGACGATTTGCACGTGCCAGGCGCGTGGGACCGGTCCTTTGACAGAAACGCTGAGAATCCTGCTATCGGAGGCGGCAACCGTGATCTTGGTCTCGGTGATGGGAGTGGCAGTGGCGGTCCCACGCCCGTACCATTCCCAGCACATCCTGGTCAAGGGCCCGCGATGCAAACTCAGCAGCAACCTCAGTCTGGCTCCAACGAATCACGAAATAGCTGGAGCTTTGGCGGTATCACTGTCTCCACGGATGGTATCAACATTGGCGACCGCATTGTCGCAGGCAGCAACGGTATTCGAGTAGGGAACCTTATTGCGGACGAGAACGGCATCAGATTTGGAAGCACTACCACGCCCCGCGCGCAAGCGCATTATGCCGGCCCCGGGTGGGCTCCTCCTCCGCCTCTTGCACCTCCGGGTCCGCCACCGGCACCCATGTTTGGCGGGCCCGACCAAGTACCAGGAACCTTTTTCCCGACGGGGCCGCCTCACCCTCAGCCACCGATCATTCCACATCCGAACCCGCAGCATCCCTTTTACCAAGGCAGCGGCCCAGAACAACAACACGCTCGCCATGAGAGCGGAGATGGCGGGAGAGACGGAGTAGCAGGCCGCGGTCGGCCTCCCGGCCGGTACCCCTCAGACCAGCGCTCCATCTCATCCTCCTCCGCCTCTTCTTCATCTTCAGCATCCTCTGCATCCTCCGTCGGCTCACTGCCAGACTACGAAGACCTCTACCCTTCACAGCTTCCCATCTACAAACAGCGTATCACCACTTGGCTATCACACCCAGAACAGCCTGTCACGAAAGACGATATTGCGCAGCTGCGCGAGGACATACGTTCCGCCGGGTCCATAGCGGCGACGCAACCCTCGCAGCAGCCAGAGAAAGGACCAGAAAGTACAGCAACAGCAGCTACTGCTGCGTCGAAAAAGGCAGAGGAGAAAGCCCTCAGAGCGGAAATTAGAAGCATCACGCAGGACTGGCGCAAACTCAAGCGCCAGCAGCGGGCAACGCGCAAGGAAAAGCGGAAGGAACGCCGCGCGAGGAGGAAAGAGGAGAAGAGGGAGCGGAGGGAGGAGAGGAGGGAAAGCAGGAGGGAGAATAGGGGGGCAAGGCGGGAGCAGAGAGAGGCGCATAGGGAAGCGCGGAGGGGCGGCGGTCGTGGTGGGCTAGGAGGAGATCCTAATCACCATTATCACCAACGTCGGCATCAGCTAGAGCACCAACAGCACCAGCAGCAACAGCAGCAGCAACAGCGCCAGCACCAGGCGCAACAGAGACAACATCAGGAGCAGCAAAGACGACACCAAGAACAGCAAAGACAACATCAAGAGCAGCAGCGTCGACATAGCCAACAGCAGCAGCAACACCAACAGCATCAACAACAGCAGCATCATCAACAAAATTCACAACACCAACAGCATCAGCAACACCAGCAACATCACGGTCCCGGACCGGCGCCGTGGGGCGGGCCGACAGTGTTTGTCCCGCCGATTGGTGTTCATGTTCCCCCGCCCCCCGTGGTACACGGCACTCCTCCGATCCCCAACTTCCCCAATAACACCTCTCCTGTGCCGAATGTTTGGGGCATGCCGTGGGGACCTCCAGGGCCGGGTAGAGGTTCCATGCCGGGTGGTTTCCCGGGCAGTGGTCCTCCTGGTCCTCCTGGTCCTGGTCGCTGGGGAGGGTTGCCCGGGGCATGGCCATTCACAGCAGTACCGCCAGCGTCAGCAGCAGGGAACAGAAGCCCCAGCATCGGCGGCGGCGGTGGCATGACCTCTGCCCCATCCACGCCGACGCCGCCCTCGTCCCAGGCGCTTTTCAAGGCGGTGGAGGACATGGAGAAGGACATCGCCAGAAGGGTGGAGGAGCTAGACAAGGCGAGGACCGAGATGCGGGATAGCAATCCTGGAAGAGGACGCTGCGGCGGCGGTCGAGGCTGGGGCCGTGGCCGTGGCGGGGGATGCGGCGGAAGAGGCGGCGATGACAATACGCAGCGCCTAGAGGAGGAGATTGACGAGTTGTCGAGGAATATCGAAAAACTCAAGGTCGAGGCGGACGCGGAGTTTGCGCGTGAGTTGGCGGCGGAGGATCAGAAGTCTGGGGTGTGGTAGATAGACCACCCACCACCCTCTCATAATTATTTACCTACCTTATGAATACGGTATCGGACATGTGTATAGTCTGTAGAAATAACCAGGAAACTTTTCTTTCCATTATACCGCCACCAATGGCCTCGTCTACTGTCTTTTTTGGGTACCTTGCTATGATGCGCCATAACCCAGTCATGAACATGATCGTATAAAGCTTTTGAACTCCGCTGCGTAGGTCAAGCTCGTACAGACAGTCATTCTCGTCCCAACATTGAGCTCTACATTTCCTTCCGTCTGTCCTCCTGATGGCATGAGAGATTGCAACGAAAATTTCGGAACCACATGGCGGTAACAGTTCGAAAAGCTGCATCATCAGCCTGTCAAGTGCCATCTGCCTTTTGATTTTCCCGCCCACGCCGCGAACAGACGTTTACGCTGTCCCAAAGATGAGGAAAGGAGCAAATCTTTTGCCCGCGCGCGGTTTATCACAGCCCCATCACATAGCCATCAGAGCGAGAATCTGGCCAACTGTGCCCCCAGGGAGCTCCACCTTTAGTTCTTACTCTCATTCTTCTCAACAAGCTCCCCAACACCCAACCCGCGACCGACCTTGACCTTGCGCTTCTTATCAGCGGCGGGCGCGTTCGGATCGCGCCCGACGTCGCCCACGGCCTCACCCTCGTCTGCGGCTTCACCTGTAGCGGCTTCCTCCTCCTCGCGGTCGCGCTCGTCCTGGATCTGCTCGCGGATGTAGCTCAGGTCGAGCTTCATGCAGTAGGCGTCCTCGCCGTCGGCGTAGTATTTGCTCTCCGTCTTTTCGTTCTTGAAGCCGAGGGTGTCGCGGTAGAGGTGGATGGCGGCCTGGTTGGAGACGCGGACGTGGAGGGAGACGTACTGGGCGCCGAAGGTCTCGACCATGGCGAGTTCTGTGGTAATGTCAGTCAGTCAGCCCTTTGGTCAATAGCAATGCCGTAGACGGAGCGTCCGCGTAGGAACAGAGGTGTAAACGCACGACTTTGGCGCATCAGCTTCTCGGCGATACCTAGGCGGCGGTGGGTGCGCATGACGCTGAGACTGGTGATGTGGCCGTGGGCGACGCCGTCGGTGGGCTCCTCCTCCATCTTGGCCAGGACGTAGCCGACGATCTTGGGGTAGTCGTAGGGGGTGCGCTTGGGGCGGGAGACGTCGACGGCGACATAGCTGAGCTGGGGCCACGAGAGGGCGTGGTAGAGGTAGTACTTTAGGAAGTAGTTCTCGGGCAGGTTCTCGAGGTTGGCGTGCTGTATGAGGGGGAGGTCGGCGGGCTTGAGGAGGCGGATATCCATGGTGGGCGAGGTTGTGTCTGAGTCGTGGGGGCTGTGAATGGAACGGACGGGTTCGAAATGACGACGTTGGCCGGCTTTGCGTAGAGTAGCGCAAGGCTGAAGAGACGCAGGGTGCGGTGGTGGGTTGATTTCGCGATGGGGGACGCTGAGGAGGGAGGGGAGTGTGGTGTAGACTTTTGGAAAGACCCTGGTCGTTGGACCATGAGGTGGCTGCAAGAACCCCACCACCGCCGCACAAGGCTCCGAGCGTCGCTCAAAACTGCCCCGCCAGATGCTCAGCTAAGATACACGAGCTTATTGCAGCTCGAACTGTACTTTTCCGTGTTTACAACCGTTGACAGGATAGGTCCTTCCTGTTTCGAGCCTTGAGTTGGACCGTGGCACAATCTCTGCAGTGCTTTTCAGGTTAGAAACAGCACTGGAAAGGGCTGAGTTCCACGTGCTCTTTCAGATTCTGGTTCATTTCAACCGAATTGTTTAGCCCAAGCTACTATGCCTAGGTAACTTGAGGCCTGAGATTATATTCGTGATGCTCAATGTCACTACTAAATTCTGCTGCTTTCCCGTTTTCTCATGTGCTACTCAGAAAATCGACCTGTACAAACATAGCCGAATCTGCTTTATGCTGAGTACCTTCTAATTTACGCCCTAACACAACGTCAAAGCTTCACCGTCTAATAGACAGCTCTTCCCAGTTTCCAAGAATAGAGGAAGAGCACTTCACCAGTACAACTCCATTTATCAACATATTCTCAAAAATACAAAATCTCATCTAGGAAGAGATTACTCTTTCATTGCCGAGATATTTGGACACGAGGTTTAGGCAAGTGAGTGAGGCTTGTGATGCTTACGGATACCAGGTAGTACTTCTATGTTCAGCTGGAGTACTCTCAGCTCAGCGGTGATAGCAGACTTCGCTTTCATTCCATTCTCATAGCGCTTCCAAGATTCGGAAATGTACAAGTACACAGCATCGGTCCAACGTAAAGCCCAGCCAGAAAGAACCCTCCTGGTCCTCAGACACAAAACGCTAATCCACGATGATCCAGGACCACCAAAAATCGTGGCCCCCTGGGCGGCGTCGAGCCCACGGCCCGGGATTGGCGCGGGAGAATGACGTGGGGGTGTGCCAGGTGTGGGATGCCCACCGACCGCGGGGCACAACAGATGGAAACTCCAGCGCATAGCTCTGCGATAGCGGGGTAGCTTTCACCCAGAGACACCGACTGGAGTTCCCCCCATCCATCCGCGTCCCACGACATCTAGACCTGACAAGTTCAGATCCCGCCCAATGGAACGTGCCGGCGGGAACTGCTTCGTCGCTCAACAAGTTTCTGATGGGTCACGAGAGCTGCTAGCATTACTCATTCGGGACAATCGAACCCTGCCCAGATACCTTAGGTAGGGTTTCTGGTCCCTGAGTAAGGTAAGGTAAGGTAAGGTATCCGTACTCCGTAGTCTATGTAGCTTATAAGAACCATCTCTGGGCTCCCGTCCTCTTCTCATCGTGAACTTTGCCGACCTTGCCTCAGTCTCTCGTCTTCCCTTCTTTGATACCACAACTGTCCCCTGCCCTCTTTCTCTACTTTCAACCGCAACCTACTTCGTATTCACAAGGAGCCAGCAACCGATTAAAAGCTCCATCGCAATGTCTCGTTCTCTCGATGGCAAGCTCGGAATCGTGACCGGTGCCTCTCGAGGTAAGACTTTCAATAAATATAAGCTCACAACATTATCTAACGTAGATTCACCGTCCAGGCATCGGCGTTGCCATCGCCGAGCACCTCGCCGCCAAAGGCTGCAACCTCATCCTGGGCTACACCTCCCCCTCTTCCCAATCCCCAGCCGAACAACTCGCAACAGACCTGAGCACAAAACACAACATCCAGACCCTCGCGGTCCAAGCCGACATGGGCACGCCCGAAGGACCCCAATCCCTCGTCGCAACCGCAAAAGCCCACTTCGAAAAGCTCAACACCAGCAAGAAATTCCAAATCGACATCCTCATCAACAACGCAGGCGTCGCCCAAAACAACCTCCTCCCCGCCATAACAGTCTCCCAATTCGACGTCTCCTACCGCGTAAATGTCCTCGGCCCTTTGCTCCTAACCCAAGCCGTCCAACCTTACCTGCCCCAAGACCGCTCCGGCCGCATCGTAAACATGTCCTCCGTCAGCTCCTCCGCCGGCTTCCCCGAACAGAGCGTCTACGGCGGCACAAAGGCCGCCCTCGAGGCCATGACGCGCACCTGGGCCCGCGAGCTCAGCGAGAACGCCACCGTCAACGCAATCAACCCGGGCCCCGTGCTCACCGAGATGTACGCGGGCAACACGCCCGAGTTCAAGCGCTTCATCAAGGGCTTCATCGAGCACGCGCCGCTGATGAAGGCCAGGCAGGGGATCGACTCGGACGAGCTGGTCAAGGCCGCTGAGGAGGAGGGCGGGAGGCCGGCGTACGTTGGGGAGATTGCGGGTATTGTGGGCATGCTTGTCTCTGCGGACTCTGCGTGGTGCACGGGACAGGTTGTTTGTGCTAACGGCGGTATGTTTTTCGGGTTGCAGTAGAAGAAGCAGTTTATATAGATGGGACTTCTTACGTTGAATTATGAGGCCGTAAATTTTCGGAGTTTGCTGTGTTAGTTACGAGGTAGACTTAGAATCCAATTCCCCATGTTCCGTTTAGTTAGAAGTATCCCCATTTTCGGCCCTTGAGCGATGATTTCTCTTGTCGAAAATACGAAAGTCAATTCATAAGTATTCATCTAACCACGTGTTGCTGGGTCGTAAGAGTTCATCTTTAAAAGTTGAGGATCGAAACTTATGGGTGTAAACCACTAGCCAAAAAATCCGCTGAGTCAAACTACACAATTTTGCCCCGCCACCATTTCAAAGCACCCCTCCATCAACTCTCAACGTCAATTACCAAGACTCACCGTGACTTACAACCCGAAGAGGCACTCTCAGGCGTTAAATCCCAAAAAAGCCAAGTTTCACCTATTCACCTTTCATAAAAGTCATCGCCCACCATGTCTCTAGACCCCTTTGACGACGTCCTCACCCTCGAAGATCAATTCTTCTCAGAGGGCTTCCGCCAAGGCACCGAAGACGGCATCCAAGCAGGCAAAATCGAGGGCCGCTCCGTCGGCCTCGCAAAGGGCTACGAGAAATTCTACGAGAGCGGAAGGATACACGCCCGCGCCGTCATATGGGCCAATAGACTGTCCCTCCCCCAGAAGAATAGCAGCACTGCCACCAAAAAGCCGTCCAGTTCTTCAGCGGCAGCCTCAGCCTCGGTTTCAGGCTCGGCCGAGCAAGCCCAACTATCGACAGAGCCGCCATCAGAGTCACAAAACAAGACCTGCGCCCTACCGCCGCTGCCGCCCAACGCGAGACTAGAAAAGAACGTCACAACGGCGTTTGCGCTGGTCGAGCCGGACACGCTCTCCAAGGAGAACAGCGACGACGCCGTCAACGACTTTGACGACAGGTTGAAGAGGGCGCAGGGCAAAGTCAAGATCATTGAGCGCATGACGGGTGAAGTGGTTTCTGCGCCGGAGGCTCCTGCTGCTGCTGGCGATATAAAGGTCCCGGAGGCCAAGGAGATTTGAAGGAGATTTGAGGGAGTTTTTCTCTTCTTTTCTTGTTGTTTCTTGTCTTAACAAGGAAGACAGCATATGAGGCGGTTTTTGTCGATGGTCGTTTGAGATTTTGAAAACGGCTACATCATAAGAAACGGGGGTGAGATACCCAACGGACGAATAGAGTAGCACAGAGACCTGGAGAGGTCGATTCTTGGAGACGTGAACGTGAAGAAAAGAAAAACGTTTCAATGGAATCTAGTGCCCTTCATATTTACAATTGTCCCTCCTCTCTCCACACTGTACAGCGAGCCCCGCAGTTTCCAAATTGCTCAAGCAAAAGTCCGGCAAGGGTAGCTGTTCACTCAAGGTTAGCAAAGTTCCGCATCGTCAACAAACCACACGACGCCCCCCTCTCCCCGAGGGAAAAAAGAGAGCAGAAAGAAGTCAAAACTCACCCTTCACCGTAGGTCTGCTCCTCGTTGACCTTGTACTTGTGCACATCCCACTTCCCACTCTTCAAATTCTCACCACTCGGCGTCGGCGGCAACCCATTCGTAAACAGCGCCTCCTTGCTCGCCTCGACGGCGCCCTGCGTGGCGTTCTTCTCGAGGTAAGCCGCGATGCCCGTCGTCTTTCCTTCTTCCTTGGCCGCGACGAGCGCCTTCTCGCCCGCCTCGCCGATGAGCTCGACGCGCGGGTTGGCGGCGGACCCGACGGCCAGCAGGCCGACGACGTCAGCCTGGCTGACGACGCTGATGGCCGGGTAGTTGCGGCGGGCGTCGCGCTTCCAGTACGGGTTGTCGGCGATGTCGCCCGCGGGGACGGTGACGGGGTCGTCGTAGGCCAGGGGGTCGTTGGCGCCCGGTGCCGGGTTGCGGAAGGTCGGGTTCAAGGGCACGCCGGAGGAGCGGTTGGGGTCGATGGCCAGGGAGCGGCGGATGCGTTCCCAGATGCCTGTGGACTGGAGGGTGTGCTTCTGTAGGAGGCGGAAGAAGACCAGGTTAGCTACTGTTTGCTCAATTGAGGTCGTTCAATGGTTCGTCGGAGGGGTGGTGGAAGCATGGTGGTGGCCGTGATGATTCGTGATGGTGTTTGGATTTCCCTGCTTTTTCGCAGGATCAATTGAGGTTCGTACCTGGGAGATCTCCACGAGACCGCCTGCCGCAGCCTTCGCAATTGCCTTCGAGGCCATCTTTGGCGACGTCTGTAGACTGTGGAGGGGAGATTTGGGGTGGTGGGTTTCGATTGGCAAACGGTTCGATGACCAGCTTGAGGTTGGTTGTGAGGTTCGGGGGACGGGAGAGAGTGCTCCAGTTTCTGGCAAGGAACCGGAGGGCCGAGGTTTTGCCGGTCGAAGCAATAGCCGTGCTTGAATTTGCAACCCAGCACCACCAGCTCTTGGACCAAAGTATCCACTTCACCACTTCCCCTTGTAAAGCTACATCGCTGGAATTTCCGGGGGGTTCATCGCATCGAATCGGCCGTGGGTCAAGATGGCACGCAATTTCGCAACGCACCGCAGAGCTGTGCATCTCGAATACGCCGACGAGGAATGGGAAAAGGCAATGCACACGCCCAACGCCAGACAATCAATTCCCAGCTACTATACGGATACAAGAAAACCCTGCCTTGCCTTGCGCTGTTCAGGCCCTCCAATTGCAAACGCATTTTCCGTCACGAAATTATACTTACACTGCAGCAATATGACATAATTACTCGTCCTTCTTCTCATCCTTCTTATCGGCCTCATCGGCAGCATCCTCCTTTTTCTCCTCATCAGCCTTGACCTCTCCATTGGCCGCCTCCTCTTCCTCCTTGGCATCGGCGGCAGGGGCCTCAGTCGCGGCCTCCTCGGCACCGTCGACATCGCCGCTCTCAATAAGCGCCGTGACGACGTCAACGGTGCCCGCGGGGCTACCGGGCTCAGCGATGAGGACCTTGCCGGCCTTGTCGACGACGAAGACGCCGCGCTGGGTGCTCTTGGGCGGCTTCTTCAGGCCAATGGCAGCAATCAGGGTCGCCTTGGGGTCGCAGAGCAGCGGGTAAGGCAGCTTCTGCTTCTCCTTGAAGGTGGTGTTGGCCTTGGGCGAGTCCATAGACAGGCCGTAGATGGCGAAACCCGTCTTGGTGAGGGGCTCGTACGAGTCTCTGAAGAGGCAGGCTTGCTTGGTGCCTGGATAACAAAAGCTTGTTAGCATGGTTGTTCAGGCAAGAGGTAGGTATTACCAAGCATCCATCGGTGCAGGGACACACTCACATCCGGGAGTCGAGGCTTTCGGGTAGGTGAAGAGGACGACGCCGGCCTTGCTCTTGTCGACGAGCTCCTTTAGGGTCGTCTTCTCGCCATCGTTGGTCTCAATGTCGCCGCCGAAGCCGTCGAGGTCGATTGTCTCACCCTTAACCGCCTTGACCTTCTTGCCAGAGCCATTGGCAGCGGCGGGCTTCTCAACGGGCTTCTCGGCAACTTTTTCAACAGGCTTTTCGGCGGGCTTCTCGGCTTTGCCCTTGACGGCGCCCTTGACCTTCTCGGCCGCCTTGGCTACCTTGGACGAGGCCTTCTTGGGCGCCGGAGCCGGAGCAGGCTCGGGGGCCTTGCGCTTGCGAAGCTCGACGGGCATGGTGGTATATAGACTCAGCTGGGATATATGCTGTGTATGGTGGGTACAGGTATCCGTATGGAGGTATACAATGGGAAGATCGCAGAGAGTGTGCGACTTGAATAGCGGCGATGCGCTGGTGATGCGATCCAGATGCGATGGGAAAAGAATGCGAAATTGCAAGAGATGGGAGGGGGTTTACGGGAATCGAGGGAAGTTGAGAGGTAAACAGGAGGTCGAAGAGGACGTCCTCGAGATGAGCCAATCACAGGCGGCCATGGCCAGAGCTTCAGCCGGGACCAGGGGGCTGATGCGATGCAGATGTCCTGCCGTGTTGCGCTGCTGCATTTTGGCGGTGCGGTGCGGTGCGTCGCGGGTGCTGGTGCGGGCGCCCCCAGTCTGTCCCTGTTCAGTGTCTCTTCCCTTCCCACTCACGTCCAGCCTCCCTCCTCTTTCTGTTTCTCCTTTCTGTCTGGCTCAGCCTAATTATTAAGCTCGGGTCGCCGTGAGCAGCGGTACTATTAGCCGTTGCTGTTTCTGGGGGGGCATGGGCGGACGACGGGGGGTGGTGGTGGTGCCGTGTCAACGTTGTATGGTTGCTCTGCCTTGAAGAGTGCTGGCTCGGAATCTGCTGTCTGGGTTCCCCCAAACGAGAGCAAGCAAGCATGGTCAGCACTCAGTATGGAGCAAGAAAGAGGTGCAGGTCCATCAGTTCGTGCCTTTCGTGCTCTCGGCTGTTTCCCTGCCGCCCGACCTCTCTTAACCTCCCATCTGCCATTTCCCTCATTCTCAACAGTGAAGAACGTCTTCGCACCCCTGTCCATCGCCCAGTAAGCTTTTCGACCATTGCCCGTGCGTTCCTCGACCCCGAGCTGGCGGTCTTAGTGAAGCTAGCCTCCAAGGGAGCGCACGTTCTGGTGCCCGTCCGGCGTCGGGCTTGCTGTGGGGGGAAACACCAGATGGCTGGGCCTAAAAGCCGATGTCACCGATGTGAGATTAAGTACGCTGTCTCACCTGCCGAGCAACCAGCCGTCATTGACACTTCTGTCTCTTACACACCGTGCTTTGCGTTCATCCTCTTAATCTCTTTGCTACATCTAACTTTGCTCCGGTGGCAGTCAGTGGTTCGAGATGCCATCACCGACCTGATGAGGATACAGGTCCAACAATACCTCCTCCAAGATGTGTGAGGCAGGCGGAAGCAGATCCTGGCGTAGGACGCCTTGTGTAGGCGCCTTCCAACACGCATATGCACCTTCTCATATGCCAACATCTTTCCAACTGTAACCTGCAATTCTGATTCGTTGGTTCTGGCTTTTCACTCAACTCCGTCTCAAGTGAGGCAACGATCTCTTCGAAATCTCATCTGCCCTCCGCTCTGCTAAAGAAACCTTACTCTCGTCAGCGAGCACACCCATTCCCTCGTCTTTTTGCAGCCAAACTAGCCTTCTTACTTCATTCCTCAGAGCCCATCCGCCTTTAGTTGCAGTCCCTGAGAAACCACATCTGTCTGGCTGCAAGTACCGGCCATGTGGCTCATCAACGTCGATACCCTTCAGCTGGAGGAGTTCATCGAGCCAGATTTTCCTTATGCTATCCTCTCTCATACCTGGGCTAGCGAAGAAGTGTCCTTCCAGGAACTCAAAAACCAAAGAGACGACAATGTATGGAGAAAGTCCGGTTACCACAAGATTTACAACACATGCCGAGTGGCCAAATCCCTCGACTTGGGTTACGTATGGGTCGACACTTGCTGCATCGACAAAGCATCCAGCGCTGAGCTATCCGAGGCTATCAACTCAATGTTCCGCTGGTACAACCGGTCATGGATCTGTTTCGCCTACCTCTCGGATGTGAATGACCTGGCTGGCTCGGCCACATTACTCGAAAACTTGAGGGCTTCTCGGTGGTTCACCCGGGGCTGGACTCTTCAAGAGCTGATTGCGCCAAAGGTCGTCACTTTTTACAATGCGTCCTGGCAGCTACTTGGTTCAAAGGATACTTTGTCGCCCTTCTTATCGTCCATCACAGGCATCGACGAGGCCATCCTTATTGGCAAGGCTCCTCTACTCAAGGTCCCCGTTGCAACCCGCATGTCTTGGGCCTCAAAACGCCAGACTACTCGAACCGAAGACTCTGCCTATTGCCTACTAGGTATTTTTGATATCAACATGCCTTTGCTGTACGGCGAAGGCGAGAAAGCCTTTGCCCGGCTGCAGTCTGAGATTATGCAAGAAACAAACGATCTGTCTCTACTTGCCTGGGCCTCATCGGTCACAGATCCAGAGCGACAAGAAGAATACAGCGGACTGCTTGCAAAGTCACCGTCCGACTTTATCGCATGCTCAAATCTGAAGCTGATCAACAACATGACGCTGTCCGAAGACTTTGAAGTTGGCGTGACCAGGACGAAGTTCTCAATCAAAACCGTGCTCTGGTACATAGATGGCTTCGGCGACAATGCCAGCACTCGGGATGAAGCAGGATACGTGCTACCGCTACATTGCAGTTTTCTGAACCCAGATTTACCTAAGCCGACGTCTTCAAGAAGCTACCACGACGGCAATTCCATTCTAATAGGTGTCATGATTGCCAAAACATCCTCCGGGTTTGTGCGTTATAAGCCCTGGAGTTTAATCGCACAGTCTCACAGCCTACAAGGCCGTTCAGCACCAAGCCTGCCAGGGATACAGGTATTGAAATCGTGGGTGTACGATGAGAAAGTCAAACCTGTTAAGCTAGTACGCCATTTGACTTCCGAAGCGGCCTTGGAAATGCAGAGTACCAGGTTGAAGAACGCAATATTCGTTTCTGTCGATATCCAGCTCCTGAATGATGGTCCATTCGAGACTCTCCATGCACAACCTAGTGCGCTCTGGGATCGCCTGAATCGAGTATTTCTCGATAAAGTCAAGCAGGAAGCAGTTCGCAACGGAACGGAAGCTCGTTTTCTGCACTTCTGTCTTCGTTCGGGCGAAAAAGTCCTCCTCATTTGCGCCATCACCGAGGGCCTCAAATCTAGATCCCGCCAATGCTGGGCTGCTTTGCTGAACTATGAAGAAGATGAAATGGGTAGATGGATGATCGACCAACTTGGCGAGTGGGATGAAACATCAGCTTCGTACAACACTGCCCGACGTATGTTGGTTTACATAGTGCTAGGCGGATACAAGACTTACCCTTCTCGGCCGGCATTACAACTATGCCCAATAGAGTACTTTGCGACAAGCACGAATCCGGCTTCGCGCACCATCCGGCTGTCTGACGGTACGGAGGAAGAGGTCACAGTCAGCATCGCTCCTCATGACGCAGCCGAAGGCGCCTGCGAGGTCATTGTTTCGTTCAAGAAGGAACCTCAACTATCTCCCGGGAACAGCTCAGATGCCGTTGTCGATTAACAAGATATCTCGGTTAAGCGTGATTCGCCCGCCACGACCCGCGACGAATCTAACATGTACTCTACCCGAGCCTGGGATCTCAATAATAACACGAAGGCAAGATGGCCGAGCGGTCTAAGGCGCTAGCTTCAGGTGCTAGTCAAGTAATTGGCGTGGGTTCGAATCCCACTCTTGTCATGTGAAGCTATCACGGGCTTAACCTTTTGGAGTATTTGGAGAACCCTTGGTGTTGCAGGCTTTGGATAACCTACACGATTCTCCTCCGCTAATCCTTTCTTTTTTAATCCTTTTTGGCAGACGCTACAAAATAAATCTAGTTGATTTCACGTGTGGGTCCACTCTCATTGCGTTGCTAATGTGAAGGCCGCTTTTCTCTGACTTCTTCGCATCCTTGCACCATCACACTGAGTCGATGGAAAAGGTTTGTCTACTCAAAGCTCAATTCAAATGGCATAGAGATTTACTCGTACTACGTATGTCTGTCTCATCGTGTTTTGTCTCCATTACCTCTCTTTACATGCCTTTGACTTAGGTAAGATAGTTTGGGAGAACAACAACGGCACGTTGTTGTAAGTCAAGCACCGATTAGCCAAGACATCAATTATCAGTCTCTCAACAACGAAAGAGCGTTCGCGTTAGAAAAAATGACCATTCTTGGGACTACAGATATCTCGCTTGCCCTGCCAAAGTTCCGTCATCACAAAACTTGTCCCTGAACACAACTGAACGAAACCTAGTCCGAAAAGCCCTCCAGCGCAAAGCCAACCTCATATGCCTATAATCACTTATTTATCCCGGATACATGCATACCCCCCACCAGTCCCCAATCCTCTAACCACAATCAGCCCATCCACATCTCATACATGATCCCACTCACCTCACTTACACACACCCCTTCTCACCCTCGCGAAACCTCAAACCTCACCGCATCCCAAAACACACAATAACATACGTCCTCCGGTCGGGCGATGCTCATAAGATGAAGAAGGGAAACCTGACACCAAAGGTAAGGGGGTTAAGAAAAAGACGAATTTTCCCCCCAAATGATGAGAACCTCCTGAACTGACAACACCCCCCTTCCCCATAGACCATCACGGCCCCTCTAGCCGCCTTCACGATGGCCTGTATCCTCTTCGCGTAAGTCTTACACTTGGGGTCATCTGTCTCAGGGTTCACATGACGATACGTCTTCTCCGGATGTCTGCTGTTCAGAAGGATCGTGAGGTGAAAGCTAATATCGAACCAGATACACCCGCTCATCAATCCGCTCGGCGCGTGATCAGGCCGTACGTCTACCCATCTTCCATCCCCCCTTGGAAAGCGCTATACAGCAGTGGGAACTTCGGGATGAAGAAACTGACGTTTGTGCAGAGACATCCCCACGGCCCGAGCCATGGACCCGGCAACGGTAGCCCGTCTTGAGGTTCCCAATGCATTGGATGTTGTGAGCGTGGCGCTAAAACCGCGCTGTGCTGAACGAACGCAGCGCGGCAAGTTCACCGGATAGACACAGTGAAAGGCCACATCTCCCACAGGATCGATCACTGGCCCTCTGTATCAAGAGTTGCAGACCAAAAAGCTAGTTCAATGGCAAGGAGGAAAGCAGTAGGGCTTTCGCGGGTTAATTTTCGTTATTCTTTTTTGGAGTTTGTTTCACGGTTTTCTAATGTAGTTATACCCCCTCCCTTCTCTGCCCACATTTCTGACTCTGGCAACTGCAGACTGCTCAATACCAAAAGAGAGTGAAAACACAAACATGGCTTCAGTGTGTTTTCGTATCAAACTCCTTGAATACTCCGCGCCAAACAAGTGTAATGCTACAAGAGTGAGCCGCCCTACTTCCCGTCGGTAGGAATAAACAATGCCATGCTCCCCCCGCTTCTCAACTATGAACTACCATAGGTGTCCGAAATCGGTTGTGAACTAGGAAAGAAAACCATCCTTTGCATGTGATGAAGATGAGGGAGGGATAGGTCGAAGGTGCCATCTCTCAAGTAAAGAAAGGGGAACTATTGCTAGGTTTCCGTGACCTGAATCGAGTTTGTCTATACCTGACGACCAAAGTTAAGGGTATCTGGAAAATCCCATCCCCATTTCCTAATCTCAACATCTTCTCTTTTCCCCTCGAGACTGCTAAAACGCACATATTGCCTTGACAAGTTTCTCTCTCTCCACTTCTGTCTTCTTCAAAATGAGACCGCTCTCTCTGGCTTCTGCCCTACCAGATCATGGCTCGGCAGGTGTACCCCTTCCTAATTTCCTCTTGCCCTCGCTCCTCGCATGATTCAAATGTTTCATCGCAAACTCATATGTCAGCATCGTCACTGTCGCGGCCGGCACCGCTCGCATCATGTTAGTGCCCATGCCAGCGTAGAAGGCCCTCCAGCCCTCCTCTTTGAGGATCGTCCGGAAGGTGCTGACCACGCCGCGATACTTTGGTGATAACGGTTGCTGTGGTTTGCCGTCCTCGGATAAAGGGACTTTGATTCCCAGACCCTGTAGATACTCGGCTCCTCCCACGGGCTTTCTCTGTGTCTGCAGTCTCGTACGGATCACCTCGTGAGGGTATGTGGCACTGCTCGCCATGATCTTCGATAATATCGAAGCACCCAGCACTCCCATCCATTGCGACTCTTGAGAATCGCCCTGAGTCGGCTCTCCCATACCCTGGCCAGTGAACCTAGTTTTCAGATACTCATATGCTGGGAACTGCACTGCCACGTGCGTAAGTCCCAGCAAGGCGGGCGTGAGACCAGAGTAGAAGGAAAGGATGCCCTCGGAAGTGTACATCTTGCGTGCCGCATCGATTGTTGACCGGTAGTGCCATGAGCTGTGATTTGTCGGTCTGGAAGTTGGTGTGTTGCCCGATCTCGGGAACTGCGAATGATACTTGCCCGGGTCATGGGCAACGCTTTGCGACATCAAGCGAGTCTTGATTACCCAAATGGGATTCGTGACGACAGTGCTACTGGCACCAGCGATGATGGATGACCAAAAGTTGATCAACACCGTGTTGTCTGTATCTCGAGTCAGCCAACATGACTCCCACAACGCCCCAATAACAGAGACTTCCACTTACCATGACGGTGTTTCAACCAGTCCTTGCTCTTATTGTAGACGGTAAACCATACAGCCCAGGTGGGCAAATAACCCAGTACTATCGGGCCGAGTCCCCTATACATGCCGCGTATTCCCTCGTCCTTCCAAATCACACGGGCGGTGCCAAGCAGTCCATTGTAAAGCTTCGGGCCATGTCCGACATGTCTTCCCTTCTCAACCGGATTGAAGCCACCCTGGGCCTGCAATTTGGTCTTGATAACGTCGAGCGGGCACGTAACAACGCCCGAGGTAAATCCTCCCACAGCACCGGACAGGGCGTTGAACTGGGCGTCGGAGGCGCCAGCTGCCCACCGCTCAAAGGCAGTAATCGTCTCGTTGGTGGGCATGACAGCAACGGCCTCTTCAATAGCAGCTATCGCTGCGCGGGCAGGAGCTGTGGCTGGGTACGCTCTCGAGCTGCTGTAGTTGGGATATGTCGAGGTCGGGTAAGGCCCATATTCTTCGTCGTTGGGGTGCGGTGCGCCTCGTTCAGCGTCGGGTTGTTCGTCGTGAGACATCCCCTCTCACTGTTGAGGATGATCGGGATTCAGAAGTGCGGAGGTTAGGCGTAAGCTAGGTAAGGTATCAGCAAGGAAAAGGCGGCGATGTCCCGCTATGTGTGCTGGTTCTCGGAGAACTGGATGCGAAGCAAAGCGCGGGTAGACTATAGCCGGTTCTCTCGGTGTATTCGTCGTGATTTGTTCGACGTTCGTGCTGCTTCTTTGGTGTCTTTTCTCTTTGGCCGTCTCTCCGTTTGTGTCTGTCAGGTACGTCTCAGTCTGGTAGTTGGATAGATGCTGGACCTTCCCAAGTGTCCCGGTATGCGGGGAACGCTCCCACGCCGCCGTGACACTGAACGACTAGCGGTTATCGCAGCCCATTGGCCTTGCCGGGGAACAGTTGTCTAGGGCAGGTATTCGAGAACGGTTCTGGCGAGAAGGAGGCTCCCAAGCACACGGGATCGGGAAGTGAGGGGTGAGAAAGGAGGCGGGCGGCGGAGAAGGGGAGCAGGACGAGAGGTGGTGGTGGTGGTAGTCGGTACGGTACGCAGTAAGAGCGCAGTCGGGGAAGTTGGAGATTGGATATTGCGAAAAAGCGCCGAGGTGGAGCGGGACGGAGCACGAGAGCAAAATGATGCGAGCTATCGGCTGTCTTTTTGGCAGGAGGTCCCCACGCTCAGGGTACTCTTACAGGTGGAGGCAGGCGCAATCTAGTGGGCTGGGAGGGAGGAAGGAGCAGTTGGAGCGCTGGATAAGATGTGCCGGAGCAGGTCCACGGGTGAAATGGGCTGCTGAAGGAAGGGACCTGTGCGATGACGCGCCCGTTGCTTTTCTGCCGTTAAGCAAAGAGTACCACTACGAATAAACCACCGAGGAAGACGGGAAGCTTCCCTCGGGTGCTGGCTCAAACCCCGGGAGCAGCCGATATTCCCAATTCTTGTTTACAGCCCTGGATGATCAGCAACAGAAGATGACGCAGTGTCGTTTGTCTCACGTTAATGACTGGCAGCTATGTAGTCTGGTAAGATGTATATTTCGCTCCAAACAGTTGCCAATGTCCTTGTGAGAAGAGCTGCGATTAAAAAGACAAGAGACACCAAGTGTCCAAAAGACATCCCAGACGACGTCCAAAGTCTCTGAATCGCAATCCCAAAAAGCCCAGAATGAAAAGTTTCAAGCTTCCAGACCATCGAAGGGGAGCTCCACCTCCGCCGGTTCCCTGCGGCTTTGCCCAGCACCACGAAATGCAATTCCCAATCATTCGCAGCAGGGTCTGCAGTGCTATCGTGGGCGGGCATCCCGTTGGTAGCTCCAATTACCTCATCGGGCCCGGGATCCAATCACGAAATCTGCACCTCTGCCTCTGGGTGGTCCGTGCTGCCGGGTCTTCTCATCAGCCACATTGTAGTCATGAGCCACACCTAATGTGGCGCGTGCCGGAATCTGAAGGATGATCACATGACCTATCCGTCCCGAATCGTTGCGCATCTCCGGGATGCTCCACGAATTTCCCATAGAGTCCCAACCTCAGGCGATCCGCAAAACCGTACTCCGCGGCATTATATCGAAACCTCTCCTCTCCGCGCCCACCACGCACCACATAGCCGCCACAATGACTTCGCTCATTTCTAAGCAGCTCGCCGACGGCATTCTTGCCCGCCCCTTCCTGAAGAGCATCTTCGTCCCCTTCTCCAACTGGTACGCCAACGCTGCCGGCCACCGCAAGCTCGGCTTGAGGTAAGCAACTCTTCGACAACCCGACCACAACAATTGCCACCGAGGCTCCGGAAGACAACACAGAAACTAATTGCCAATTTTTCCTTCGACTGCAGATTCGACGACCTCATCGAGGAGGAGACCGATATCGTCCAGAAGGCCCTGAAGCGCCTCTCCCCCAAGGAGTCCTACGACCGCGTCTACCGCATCCGCCGCGCCGTCCAGCTCTCCTACCAGCACAAGCTCCTGCCCAAGAACGAGTGGACCAAGCCCGAGGAGGTGCGCATCCCGGACGATTGAATCGAAGAGACACATGAGGACTGACCCTCGACTATAGGACTACCCCTACCTCGGACCCATCATCCAGCAGATCCAGGCTGAGGAGGCCGAGAGGCTGGCCTTTGAGACCATGGAGGTCCAGAAGAAGCACCACTAAACTACATCTTCCTGGTGGGGGATCACGTTTGGACTGAAAGGAGGCGGAGAGAGCGAGCCGCGCGCACGATGCTGTAAAGTATGACGAAGGGGAACCGCCTGGCCGGGCGCGCGACAGAAATTTAGACCAGGGGGGCGAACGAGTTTAGAGAGAACCAAGGCCAGGCGGTTCGTGTACCTTATGTATAGACCTTTGGAGGGGGTTGCTTTCTCGTCAATTGGAACTCCCTGCTACACTTACAGGTTCCGCTGCGCTCGAATAGCACCAATTGATGACACTTTTTTTTGGCCTTGGAATATCAATGTTCTCAAGGTTGCCCCCCCCGGCCCGGGTTCGCGGAAGCTAGCTGACATTGTACGCACTCTCACTGGTCGCAACCCACAGACCCACTGCAGTGCATCAACATCATGAGTAACTACTTTCTTTGACGGCTTACTGCGTTGAAGGTCGTTGAATACACTGATGCTGTCGCTGCCGAATTTCCTCAAAACTGTCGCTATATGGGAACCCGCATCTCAATCTTTTTATAGTCTAGGTTCATTGAACTATTTATCATGTCAATTGATCGCAATCACTTTTCGCATACGGATACATCATCTGCGAGATTCAGTTGGCGGTGCCTTGCTATCAATGAGGTTGCAAAGATATGGTCGACAATCGGAATCAACATTACATCAGCACTTAAGAAGATACAATCGAATCCTGGGGCGTACTTCTTGAATCAGTGAACTCATAGTGATCATGTATCGAGAAGAC